ACTTCTCTTCTGACAAATGTATCTGTGAAAGATAAAGAAGAGAAAGAAAAGAATTGACAATTCTCATGTCTTCAAGTTCATGTTATGATCACAATGCATACTCTGAATGAGAAGGTATCAGTGAGATGCCTACTTGACTCCAGAGCAGATACTAACTTTATATTCTATTTCTTTTCTTTGATGAAGAGTTGAAAGAAGATAGATCTGTCAGGCCATGTAAAATTTACTGATGGAATAAAATGTCATTATTTTGATATAATTCAGGTGAAGTGTGTGATCACAGACTTAGAAGAAACCTTCAAGAAGAGCAGTCTGCTTCTTCACACAGTCAATATCATAGATGAGAACATCATTCTAGGTCTTCTGTGATTGAGAGAAAACAATTCTCTCATTGACTGAGTCACTCAGACATAACAGTATCATCTCACTGATGAAGAGACAGTAATAGAGAAACCTGAAGAGTTTCATTGAAAGAATCTTGAGAAAAGAATTGAGTCAATATACTGTGTAGCAGGTGATTGAGACTTGAGAATAGATGAAGAAGTCATCACTCTCACTGCAAGATTAGCAGCAGTATTCATCATTAAAGACAGATATACACAACATCTCTTTACAGATTTTAAGAATGTCTTTTCAGAAAGGAAAGCAGTGAAGTTTTCTGATATTAAGATGTGATATAAGATTTGCCTTGAAGACAGTGCAACAGTGCTGTATAAGTCTCTTTACAACTTGTCTGTAAAGGAGTTGAATGTTCTGTGCAAATATCTTGAAGAAGTGCAATCAAAGAACTGAATACATTTATCAAAGAGTCTGACAGAGACATCTATACTCTTTGTACTCAAGAAGAATGATAGACTATGTCTATGCATAGACTACAGAGGCCTCAATAAGATGATAGTTAAGAATTACTATTCACTATCATTGATTGACAAGATGATTGATTGATTATCTGAAGCAAAGATATTCTCAAAGATTGATATACAGAATGCCTATCATAGAATCAGAGTTAATGAAGACAATGTTTGAAAAACAGTCTTTCATATCAAGTACAGCAATTTTGAATATCTTGTTTTGTCTTTTAGTCTCTATAACACTTCAGCCATCTTTCAGACCTATATAAATGAGGTGCTGTGAGGCCTTGTCAATGTCTCCTGCATAGTATACTTGAATGACATTCTAATCTTCTCAAAAACAGAGAAAGAACACAATATTCATGTTTGAGAAGTGTTGAGTCACTTGAGACAGCATCAACTCTATGCAAACACTGAAAAATGCTCATTCTACATGCAGAAGATTGATTTCTTAGATTATGTTATTGAGATGAATGACATTTCAATGAACAGAAGCTGAGTCTCTGTCATTGAGAACTGGCCAGTGCTGCAGACATACCGCGAGGTGCAGATGTTTCTAGAATTTGCAAATTTCTACAGATAATTCATCTATGCATATTCATAGATTACTGTCTCTCTTACAGATCTGTTGAAGAGAAGTGTGAAAGACAGAAAAACAGGACTGTTTATCCTCACTCAAGACACTGTGCAGATGTTTGCAGAATTGAAACAAGCTTTTGCAGATGTCATGATACTGAATCACTTTAACCCTGACTTATTCAGTCAGTGTGAGACTGATGTATCTGAGAATGAGATCTATGAAATCTTTTCACAGTTGACACTGAAGACCTTTCAATGTTGAAAGAATCAGAGAATAATCACTTCTGAGAAAACAGATAATGAATTGTCTGTAAGAGAAGACTTTTTCATGAAGCCTATAAGACACTGTGAATGAAGATCAGTGACCTTCTTCTTCAAGAAGTTATCACTCACACAGAGAAGATATGATACTCATGATCAGAAGATATTAGCAATTATTGAATTCTTTAAGATCTGATAACATTATCTTCAGAGTAGTAAGTACTCAGTGCAAGTTCTCACTGATCATACAAATCTGCATTACTTCTTGACAATAAAGAGCTTGACAGAATGTTAAGCCAGGTGAGTGAAGCTGCTTTCAGAGTATGATTTCTATATTCAATACTGTTCAGATCAGCTTAACCCTGCTGACATGCTATCTAGACAGTCTGATTATAATATTGTTGATGTGGAGAAGAATTCTATAAAAGAACCTCTGTTATCACTGTAGAAGAAGCTGGCTGCAGGGGGTTGAGATTCTCTAAAGCTCAGAAACAGCGCCGGAGAGGCAGCTGCATGACTCAGTATAGAAGGTGAAAGAGAATCTGAATCTCTGTGAGAAACTGACACTGAAGATCATGAGCTTCTCATATCATATCTTACAATCATTGAATTGACAAAGAATGAAACAGTCTATAATCTTTCAATCTGACTACTTTTGAAATTCATTGATAAGTTACAGAAGAGGGATGTCTCTACTGCAGCTTGAATTCAGAAGTTGAAGAAGAAAGAGTCTGATTTGAACTTGAAAGAGATAGACTCTGAGCAGGACAGTGCTGCTAAGAAATCAAGTTACTGATAACTAGGAGAATGTGAACTTCTACTGCTGAATGATTCAGTCTTCATCTCTTATAGCAGAGTGATGTGCCAGAAGTTATTAAGAATTTATCATAATAATCCTCATACAGAGCACTTCAGGTTAGAGAAGACTGAGAAGCTTCTAAAATATAAATACACTTGAGACAAGCTTCAGACAGATGTCAAAGAGTATATTGAGACTTATGATATCTGTCAAAGAATAAAGATTTCATGGCATAAGTAATACAGTGAGTTGATATCACTGCCTGTTTCAAAGAGCTTATGGCAGAACCTATTGATGAATTTCATAGTTGATCTGCTGAAGTTGACAAGAGTCAGAGAATATGACTTAATTTTGATCATTGTTAACTGCTTCATAAAGATGATCAGATATATCTCTACTTATAAAAAGATTAAAGTCTCTGAATTGACTGACCTGTTTTTAGATATTATCATTTGTGATCATAATACTCTGAAATCATTGATAACAGATCAAGAATCCCTCTTTATCAGTAAGTACTGATCAGCTTTTTGCTATTATCTTATAATAAGATGTCTTCTCAGTATCACATTTCATTTGCAGATCAATGGCCAGACTGAACATCAGAATCAGACACTAGAACAGCATCTTTGAGCATTCTGTTCATATTATCAGAATGATTGACTTAAACATCTTCTGATCACTGAATTCACATATAACAATGCAAAGAATGCAACCTTAAAGATATCTTCTTTCTATGCTTGTTATGAATATAATTCTTCATTACTCAGTGACATCGCGGATGATGTTTTAAAGAAGAAGATAGACAGTCAGAATGTCAGACAGATACAGAGAATGAAGTATCTCTCAGTGTCAGAAGTAAAAGCAAGATTGAAACTTTTAAACAAAATTCATGAGAAGGCAGTGAAAAGCATTCACTACACTCAGAAGTGATAGATAAAATACTATAATTAAAAACATCTTCTAATGAAGTTCTTGATAGAGGATCAAGTACTACTTTCAGCAAAGAACATCAAGATAATAAGATTATATAAGAAGCTCAGTGAGCAGTGACTAGAATCTTTTCTGATAATAAGAGTGATGAGTAAGCAGACATATGAGTTGAAATTATTCACAGAATTGAAATCAATTCATTCTGTTTTTCACATTTTCTATTTGAAGCTCTATAAGCAACACTCTGAGATGAAGCTGTCTCAGTCAGATAATATTGAGATTGAGAGTGATACTGAATATCTTATGAAGAAAATATTGAATAAGTGAACACATTACAGTAAGCTTTAATATCTTGTTAAATAAGAAGATTATTCATTATCAGAGAATTCATGAGAATCACTTGAGCATTTGAAAAATGCTGAGAAAGAGATTGCAATCTATGAGACAGCTAGTAGAGACTACTCTGTTACATGTCAGAGATGTTGAATAAGAAATATCACTTGAAACTTCTCATTTTTCTCAAAGAGTTTTTTAGAGATGATCTCACAGTGATGAGCTGGTATCTTATAGACTCTGTAGCACTCTTCTTCTATTTTCTCTCAAAGAGTTTTTAGAAGTTTAATGAGACTACACAAGTGTAAAATTCCTGAAGCAGTTAGAGAAAAGAAATATTGAAAATCAATAAAAAGATTAATATTATTAATCTGCAGACTGCTGCTATTCTAATAGAGCTGCAGCTCACTGAAAAAGTAAAAAGAGAGATCAGAGCCTACTTATTAATAATTACATTCTCATCAAACTCATTCTTCACTGTTGAAGTCTTCAATATCAGCATCTTTATCTGCTGAGAAGTTAGTACTGTGATGTCATAGAGAAGCATGCTGCAGAAGAGTATAAGAGATACTGAAAGTGTTAACTTATCAACTTATAAAACATCTCAGTTATCTACTTCAACTGAAGTGAGATTCTCTTTAATCAGTGATTGATCTTCATAACACTTTCAACAGTGATACTGACTGATCTCTTCTTAAGATCAGTCATTCTGAGGTGTTTTTTCATCTCAGAGACTCACACTTTTATCTTCTTCTGTAGATAAGCAAGAAGAATCTTCTCAGTCTTGACAGAATTCATTAATACTTAAAGCTCTGAGACTCTTACTCTGTACTGCTTGAGTATCTAGACTTCTTATCAGAGCTGACATGACATCTTTCTGTGAGATAATACTTATAGAGAGACAGGAGTTGTTGTTGCAGATGCAATAAAAATAACAGAAGTGAAAGAAGAGACAGATATATAAGATTCTCTTCTTCTTCAGCTGCTTGACACAGTGCAGACAAGTAGCAGTGCCAGTCAGAGACTGCACTGAAGCCTTCTCACAGAGAGAAGATAAAGGAACTGCAGAACTCTGCAGACTCAACTCAGCAGCATTCTGAGCAGGGCTCAGGCATGCTGCAGGAGAGAAACTACAGATTGAGCTTCTCAGAGTCACTGTCTCTGAAATCAAACTCTCTCTGAGTTTCTCTCTGAATGATCACACAGGGTCAGATGCCACTGTATTAACTGAGAGAGAGAGTGATGTCATGACAGTGATGAGAGAAGTGAGAGACAGAATAGACACAGATGAACTGATCAGCAGAAGGAATAACACCTCACTACAAGGTGCAGTGACTATCACCACAGCTGCAAAAGAAGCAGAAGAAGAAGAAGATGTGACAATGAGAGTGATACTCTCACAGCTCATTGATACTGTCATCTTCATCTTCAATCTGACTTTCTTAGCAGTCATGGAGGCCGCCGCCGCATCATGAAGATGTTTATTCACTAGAAAATATCAGAATAAGCTCTTTACTGTTCTTCAAGAATGATACTCTCATGCACTCACTATTGCAGATGAGAGAGAGAAGAGAAAAATGTGTCATAAAGAAGAAAGATCTTTTCAAAAAAATCCTGTCACTACTGTTAGCTTTGTCTCTAAAACACATCACTTTTGCAGAGAATTTCATATATAGAACAGAATATGTTGAAAGATCTGTAAGTCACTTGTTAACTACATTTCTCACATTTTAAATTGATATATAAGAAACTCACTTATCATGCATTTGATTTGAATGATGATGAAAAAAGAAAGATTTATACAGTCAGTAGAAAAACTCATCTATTTCTTTGTATCATGTGCAGTATATACACTGTCAAATTGATTGACAATCATTGCTATATAACAAAGATAATTTCTAATTCAGTAATCTTGAGAGCATAGAGACTATGCTCTTAAAGAGAAGAGCATTGTCACACTTCTGACTGTGCCAAGGCTTTGCTATGATTTCACACAGCTCATTACTTTCATGTGAATAATTTCATTCATTCTGCAGGTTATCTGAACTGGTTTTCAATCACTCTATGACATCATTCAGATATATCATAGAAAGATTTGATTGATGAATATGAGAACTCTGCTTCTATACAAGGTCAGCAGATTACTTTTTCTTGACAGTAAAATATCACTGAGGTATCACTTCAGCTATTCTTACTTATGAAATGAGAGAAGGTATCTGTTCATTGTCTATATAGAATAGCTAGATGCTGGCTTCTTATGAAAGAAGTCAGTGATTTGTTTTACTCTGACTGGAATATATACAAGAGTTACTGTGTATCTTATACAATCTTCTTAGTATACTAAGTATCATATCTGTGATATTCTCGCAATAACTCTGTAGCCTATGAGCTCGCTATTCAAGCAAGATAGTCAAGCTCACTCATACAGCTTCTCAAACAACTACCTCTACATGTCGCCGCTGACTAGTCATCACTTCGGTTCCGCCACGTTACAATAGATTAACTAATAATTTAAATATCACAGATTTGAAACATTACTAATATAATTTGTATCTTCTCTAAATAATAACAATGATTTCATAATATTTAATAAATAATCAAATCAGTCATATCACTGAATATGATACAGAATATTAGAACACAGTGAAGTTCAATATATAAGATAACTGTTCAGACTCTTTAATTATATCAGATAATTAATCATTGAGTGCAATACTCTGATCAGAAAAAGATTCAGATATTGAAACTTTCTGATATAAAGTGAACTCAGTTAAAATATATAATTGATTTACTATTTTAGTTTTATAAGATAATAAAGACAGTCTCAATTACTTATACACTAATGCTGCAGTCAGTCTGATGAGTGTATAATGATTTATTTACTCATTTTAAGAAGCAGTTAAATCACTTAAAAAGAAATTCAGTCTGAGATAATACTATAGTGCAGGCTATTATTACTGTAAGAAATAAACTGATATATTATTACAGTAAAACTGAACAATCTTTTACAGAGTACTATGCTATAGCAGCTCTACTAGATCTCTCTTATTAAATTAATATCTACACTTCTCAAGATTGAACAGAGAAGAAATAAGACTTATATGTTAAATTAGTCTGAGACTACTATAATATCAACTATTAGAGATTTGAATAAGAAGATGTTTGAGATGTGAAGACAGTGATATACAATTCTCTAGTAAGTAATGATCTTTGATAACACTTCATATTACATAGAATCATAATACTAACTTTGAAATAGAACTTGTATACATTGATTATAACTGAAAATCAGATAAAACTATATACTTATAAAACTGAATTTAACTGCTATCTTCAAGATAATCTGATGAATTTACACACTAAATCAATTCTAGAGTTATGAAAAATTATTGAGAGTATATATTCAACTATTACACTGATAGCATGTGATATTCTGATAATTTCATTGATAGAGATGAGAATGAAGTTAAAGTTTAACTTAAGTTAAGATATTTATCACTATCATCAGAGATAATTATAAGAAGAAATAATCAAGAAACTCATAATTATAAAATATAGAATTATCAGACAGTTTAATATCTCTGATCACAGTATATCAGAGAAGTGTAGTTTTCATGAGAAAGTAAAGAATAAACTTGTATAAAAATGTATTTAGTTATTTCATGAGTGTTATCAATAATTATTATCAAATTCTGATTATATAAGCAATCACTGAATGAACTGAATGAGACTGATTTTAATCTTCAGTCTCAGTCTTATTCTGATTTTGAAAGAATAATCATCTTTCACAGTTTATTCTGAGAAATTACTCTTATTTCACTGTTCTTGAATTAAATCTGATCATTTTTCACATCATTTCTCTCAGAAATGATTCATTTTCAGATTTTTTTAAGGCTTGATTCTGATGAAACTCACACTAAGAAATGTATGAGATCAGATCAAATGTGATTAAATGTGAAATTCATGATTCTGCTGATCAGTCTAGATACAGAAGACTTAGTCACATATAGACTAACTGATAAGATTATGAATTTCACATTTAATCTCATTTAATCTGATCTCATACATTTCTTGATGTGAGTCTTATCAGAATCAAGTCTTAAAAAAATCTGAAAATGAATTATTTCTGAGAGAAATGACATGAAAAATAATCAGATTTAATTCAAGAACAGTGAAATATAAGAAATTTCTCAGAATAAACTGTGAAAGATAATCATTGTTTCAAAATTAGAATAAGACTGAGACTGAAGATTAAAATCAGTCTTATTCAGTTTATTCAGTGATTACTTATATAATCAGAATTTAATAACAATTATTGATAACACTTATGAAATAACTAAATATATTCTTGTATAAGTTTATTCTTCACTTTCTTATGAAAACTACACTTCTCTGATATACTGTGATCAGAGATATTAAACTGTCTGATAATTTCATGTTTTATAATTATAAGTTTCTTGATTGTTTCTTCTTATAATTATTCTTAATGATAGTGATAAATATCTTAACTTGAGTTGAACTTTCACTTCATTCTCATCTCTATCAATAAAATTATCAGAATATCACATATCATCAGTGTAATAGTTGAATATATACTTTTAATAATTTTTCATAACTCTAGAATTAATTTGATGTGTAAATTTATTGAATCATCTTAAAGATAGCAGTCAAATTCAGTTTTATAAGTATATAGTTTTACCTGATTTTCAGTTGTAATCAATGTATATAAGTTCTGTTTCAAAGTTAGTATTATAGTTCTATGAAATATGAAGTATTATCAAAGATTATTACTTATTAGAGAATTATATTTCACTGTCTTCATATCTTGAATATCTGCTTATTCAAATCTCTGATAGTTGATATTATAGTAGTCTCAGACTAATTTAACATATAAGTCTAATTTCTTCTCTATTCAATCTTGAGAAGTGTAGATATTAACTCAATGAGAGAGATTTAGTAGAGCTACTATAGTATAGTACTCTGTAAAAGATTGTTCAGTTTTACTGTAGTAATATATCAGTTTATTTCTTATAGTAATAATAGTCTATACTATAATATTATCTCAGACTGAATTTCTTTTTGAGTGATTCAACTGCTTTCTAAGATAAGTAAATAAACTGTTATATATTTATCAGACTAACTACAGTATTAATGTATAAGTGATTAAAACTGTCTTTATTATCTTATAAAACTGAAACAGTAAATCAATAATATATTTTAACTGAGTTTACTTTATATTAGAAAGTGTAAGGGGCCTACGCCGAATAGATCAGTATAATAGATAGGTCTTATATAACAAAGATAAAAACATTAGAGAAGGAAAGAAAGAGAAAGTGTGAGAATCAGCAATCAAGGTGAATATTTATACGCATATGTGATGGTGTATGTGGTGGAGCTTCAGGGTGGAAGAATATACACATGTTCATAGCAGCTGAGAATTGGCAATCAGAAATGGCTGAGAATCGGAGTGTACACTACGCGTGTTCATAGTGGCCGCGGATTGGCGATTGAAAATGACTGAGAATCGGAGTGTACACTATGCACATTTGTAGTGACCGTGGATCGGTGATCAGAAATGAAAGAATCTATGAAGTGTAATGAAATAGTCTATATGATTGATTGAGCGCAGTCTGCCATATTAGTCCCCTCTTTTCAGAAGCAGTTCTTATCAGTCAAGAGCCACTGTTTCAGATAATACAAAACTCAGAGTTCAGATCAGTTGATCATAGTCAACTCATTTCATCAGATATTATCAGCTGTGGCTGTGAGATCTCTCATTGAGAATATCTTCAATCTCTCACTCAAGCTCATTGTCTTCTTCTATGATGTCTGGCAGCTGTCAGTCAGAAGTCAGCTGAGAAGAAAACAAATCAGTGACAGTGTGACAGAGCAAGCTTGTATGAAATACATCATGAATCTCTGATGATGTGTCAAGGCAGTAGTTGTGACTATCTAGAACTTCTATCACTTTATATCTGATGTGACAGTAGTCTAGCATACAAGATGAATATATGATTTGTATATTCTTGAGATTCAATTATACAAGGTCTTCTATCTTATACTGCTCTGCAGAATCTTGTCAGATATTGATTTGATCTTCTTGATCTTGTTTTACAGTTGTTATGAAGACCTCTGCTCAGTTGCAGATGTCTCAGAGCTTTGTTACTATATTATCAGTGATCTGAATTGAACTGTAAGAGTTCAGTATGAACTGTGTAGTCTCTAGAAGATTCAACACTTTCATGTGATATCTGTGTGTAAGAAAGAACAGGCTTATATCTGTTAAAACAGTATCTCAACTGTTGATAGTGATCTCTGCATGTAGAAGAAGATTATATTAATCATCTTATAAGTGATTACAGAACTTATGAAGATAATTCTTTACAGTCTGAATTATTCATTCTAATACATCATCAGTCTCAGAGTGATAGACAGTTAACAGACAGTGTATAATCTTGAGAACTTGACAGATTCT